TAAAAAAAAAAATTTTGAATTTACTTACTTGTAGCCGGAGTTAGAGGCGGTCAGATACTTATGACCGCTACTGTAATATAATTATATTATATAGTAGTATCCCATTAAAGTTATTAATTATATTTATAATTTTTTGATAATCTGATTCTAATTGCTTTAATTTTTTTCTAATATATAAAATATCTTTTTTTAAATGAATAATTTTGATTTTTTATTTTTAATATATTATCATCATTATCATTATTTTTAGTAATTAATGCTTATATTTTTTAGATTCTAAATATTTTAGATTTTTATTAGTTCTTTTTCTACATATATTACAAATCATTGTAAATTTATTTAATTTTAATAATTTAATTAATCTTTTTGGAATTTTGATAAGAATTTTATTTGTATAATTTTTTGTTTTATTTGATTTTATTTTATTTAAATAAATTTTATATTTTAAATATTAACATGTATTTTTATATTTATTATTATTTATTAAATCATTTTATAAGTTTTCATAATTATTTTTTCTAGTTAATAGTATTTATTATTTTTTATATTGTAAATATTCTAAATCATTATCAATTTTTTTTTTTTACAAATATTATAAATCATTGCATTTTTATTTAATTCTAATACTTCAATTAATCTTTTTGAAATTTTAAATAAATTTGTTAATTGTTAATTTTGCTTTATAAATATCATGTTTAGGATGTTGATAACTTTTAATTTTTGATACGTTATTTAGTATTAATTGATTATAATGAGTTTGACAAAGTAACATATTAATATTTATAATATTTTTTATTTATTTTTAAAATATCTATTTCATTTGAAATTTTTCTAATTCTTCCTTTACATATATTATTTATGTAAAAGTTACAATTATTGATATCTGTTAATGACATTTTTTTAATATTTGAAATAAAGTTTAAAAAGATAATTAAGTTTTTATTTAAAATTTAAATTAGATTAATATATATATAATTTTATTGTAATATATTTATATTATATTCTATATAACCTAATATATCAAATATAATGGTTTGGTATGATTTAGTCCAAAACTTTGAAGTCTAAATTATTAATATTTATAATAATATTATGAAATATTCAGAAAGTTGATTCAAAGCTAACTTTTGTGTTATTTAAAATTTTATTGTGATATATTCTAGTTTGGCCACGCATTTATGGCTTTGCCTAAATCTTAGAAGTCTTGAAAAATTAATTTATTATGTAATTTACTTAATTACTTATTTCAGCCCTAAGCTAATCTTTTGATTTACTGTTTTATAATCTCGTTTTACATGATTTAAAATTTTGAATTTATTGATTTGTATATATGATCGACAAATGATCGACAAGGTGATATAAGTAAGCTACTATATTAGGGTTTCCCAAATATTTGAAATAATTTCAGGTATCGAAAAAAAAAAAAATAAGAATCGATCGAAGAAAAAAAAAATATTAAATTTAAAAAAAAAATAAAAATCGATCGATAAGTCCGATATTCGAAATCAATTTCGATATCCGAATCATTTATTTAATTTACAAACAAATATTCGAATATACTATTTTCAAACGGAAACCCTATACTATATGTGTATATTAATAATTATTTTAATTGACTTTTTTTTTTTTATTAAGTTCTAATACATTAATTGTTTTTGTATAAAAAATTACAAAATTTACACATCTATATTATCTTAGAAAGGGAAGGAAAATAAATAAATAAATAAAAACTAAATAACTTTAATTTTCTATATTAAAAAAGCAAAGAAAATTCCTAAAATTAAACCGAAGATACCATATAATGAACTGCCAAGTAAAGCTGAGGCGGAACCTGTTTTAATTCCTTCTAAACTCTTTGGACTATATACAGTCCACCATTCAGTAGCACCATCTGTCTCTTGTAACAATTTATTTAAGATTTTAGAATATTTTCCAGATTTATCACCATAATAATCTCTAGATTTATATAAAGAAGGCAAAAGAACGGATTCCACTTCCTTGACCTTACCCTTATCTACTAAATCAACCAGAAAATCAACGGCATTTTGAATAGTACCACCAAATTTTGTTTTGGTTTCCCATAAATTTGCTCCATTTATCTTTTGTGAAAGTATAGCAATATATGTTAAAGCTTCTAAATTAAAACATTGATAATGAAATGGTTTTGTTCGTTTGCTTTCTTTCGGCTGTTCTCCTGATTTCAATATGGTATCTTGGAATGTAGTATCAACAAATGTTTTAATGACATTTTTTGCTTCGTCAGTTCTCCCAGCAAAATCCAAATATGTCGCCAATGCAGCTATGTAAAACGTTGCATGGTTATTGGATCTTTTGGCTACTCCTTTCCCTAATTCAGAATTCATTAACCAATCCGAAAAATCAGAAAACCATTTTCTTAATCCTTTTTCGACATAATCGTTCCATGCACTTGATTTTTCAAGAATTTTAATCGCAACTGGAATGTACACCTAACAAGAGAAGGAAAGATTCATTGTTATCGCGTAATTGATTCAAGAAACAATCAGAACTAATTTATTAATTAAGATACTTACGTAAAAACGTAAATCAAGGATTCCTTCATCCCTTCCTTTCCATTCTCCGGGACCTCTTTGTACTTGACCATAATTTACGTCGGGTAGCATACTAGTGTTTTCGTTAACGAACCAAACATCCAACAATTGTACAGCTTTTCTAGCAAAATTTTCAGCTATATCACCATCATTTAATTCATAAGAGATTGATAAGCTTACTACACTATCAATCATTTTTCTCGAATCAGATGGATCAGAGAGATTTTTAACATCAGGATTAGTCTTTCCGTCACGTGTTTCGTAAGGACATTGAGTTTGAGGATCCGTGACATTTGGTATACCATCACAATTTGGCCATGAGTATGGTGCATATGAAAGATATTCTCGTTTATCTCCATTTGGTGGGATCACCGTTGTGTTTATTACTGAATATGGTTTGTCTAGTTTTAAAGCTCTTGAAGCAAAAGAATTTATCGATTTTAATGCTGGGTTTGATTTATCCCCATGTTCCTTAAAGTAGTCTAATCCGTCAATTGTTATATAATCAACATTTACTGCCGCTATATAAATCGGAAAAAAAAAAAATTAATTCTAAGTTATTTTGGAGTTTTAACGATTTCGCTTTTTTTTTTCCGAAAAATAATTCACCTTGAGCAACTATTACGTTTAACGTAATGTAAAGAATAGGGAAAAAGAGTAGATTTTTCATTATCAAAAACGAAAATTTTTTTTTTAGAAAAGAAATTTTTACTTAAGGAGAAAGATTTGTTTTTCTAATATGTAGGATGTTCAAAGTTTAAAATCGACCCGGCGATTTTTAAGAAGAATGCAAAGGAAAAAAAAAAAATAAAAAAAAATAAAAAAAAAAAAATTATCAATCAAGTAACAGGATAGAAGTTGGAATAAACGACTGTGAAAAAAAAAAGTCGCTTTTATGTCAAATAAATTACGAATTTCCTTTTGAGGATACTAAATAATACAAAGAATATGTATTACATTATTTTCATTCTTTGGTATATTATCTCAAACCTGCCCATGTGTATTCCTTGTTTTTCTGATTAGTTGATACGTTTCAAATCTAAATTTAAACATGCCAAGCAATTTGTACTATCAATGTTACTGATCTTAAACGATAGTTTTTGCAAATTTATTAAATTTATTAGAACACGCAGTAACAATTCGTTTTTAAAAATAATTACCACTCATATAACCGCTTTTTAATTGCTTTCATATCATGATCTTCCTAGTATTTAAAAAGATCATCGTTAAATATAATAAGGTTTATTACTAATTTTTTTTTTTTCTTTTACCTTGTTTATATGCAATAATTCTGAATGAACATGGTTTTGCTGGTTAATAAATTGTTCTAACGCTTCATTTAATTCAGCTTCGTCGATCGCATCTAGTTTCAGTATATGGAAAATTTATCTCTTGACATAATTTTAGAAAATTGCAAAAGGATGTTTTAATATCATACATAATTTCTTCAGATCGTTATCAAGATCCCGCCCTAACTTTTGACATTGTTTATGAAGCTTCGTGAGGTTATCTAATACTTTTGTGGTGCTCGACTATTAAAATGTTCACGTTGATTTAATATCAAAAAGCAAAATGTCACAGCTCGAATGATTTATTTCAAGTTAAACCTGCCTGATATCTCTCAAGCTCGAGTTTCAGTTTCTTAATATATTCATTCTCTTGTTCTAATCGATCATCAATCTTTCTTTTTGCAGTAAATGTAATTGCTTCCCTATATAATGAAATGAGCAATTATTAGAAATTCTAGTTAACCCCCTTTACCATAATACTAACATTTCTGTAGCCCATGCGGCTATAATTCCATTTTCACCATCGATCATTTTCCTAGCTTCTTCCAACCGTGCTTGTTGTTCATTTTCAAATTTGTTAAATTTCAATGTAGCACTTCTCTTAGTTTTTGCTACATCGATTATTTTTCATGTGAGATGATGAAATTTGGATTATGAAACAAAATGATCGGTTATGTCGCTCACTTTGAAGGAGACCAATTAGTTCAGCCATATCATTGCTCCTTTTCATTCAAAAAAAAAAAAATAAATAAATTGGTTCTAACCTTTAATTTGAAGTTTGCAGATTGCTATAAATATACTTTTAAAAACAAAATCAAGTTCTTATATTTTACCCAGTACTTCTTCCATCATTAGTAACGTAGTTGGTTTCGTTTTCCTCTTCAATAATATCATGATCATCATGTTCATTATAATCGCCAGGTTCATTGTCGGATAATACTTGACCGTATCTTTCTGACTTTGCATGATTTTTCTTTGTCGATTGAGCTTTGGTTTCTTTTGTCTCCTTATTTGGAAATTTTGCTGCGCCATAATCATTAGATTTTCGTCTTTGTGCGCTTGAAGCGTTCCTTGGACCTACAAATCGATCATTGTAAATGTTGAAAACGAAATAAAAAGAAAAAAGAATTTGTATATTTGATTGAAATAAAGAGACCATTTCGATAAAAGGGGTTTTCAGGAGCTTTCTTTCTGATATTTTTTCCAATTAAACCGCGTTCTCCCATTTTTAAACTTTATCAATGTATCAATATTAGAATTAATTAAAAAAGAAAAAAAAATTTTTTTTTTGTTTCATCTTTTATAGAATTATATACTTAAGATTTTAAATTTAAACTTTTTTTTTTTTTTTTTATTATGAATTTTATATGACGCGTGTTGATCAAATTGAAAATGCATATAAATTCATCCTTTCGCGTATTCCTTTTCCTTTTTTCAACCATAACTTTTTTTTTTTAAATAATTTTTTTTATAATTAAATTTTACAGAAATTATTTTCCTGAATGGTTAAACCAAAGAAAGCCGCTGCGAAAGGCGATGATGGTATTTAAGTTGTTTATTTATTTATATTGGTGAACAGGACTTATAGTAATTCTTTTAGGTTTTGATTAAAAATAGCTGAACAGATGGTTTTAGATTATTTGAGAAAGACAAATCGACCTTACAGTGCTAGTATCCTTTCCGTATTTTCCATACTTTCCAATAATTTGAACCAATTAATATACTTTTTTGATTCTTAAATCGGTAATACTGGATAACTGTTGAATAGATGATATTTCAAGTAATCTTCATGGAGCTGTCACTAAAGTTATTGCACAAAAGGTCTTGAGTAACCTTGTAGATAAATCTGAAGTTTGTTGTAAACCTTATGGAAAACAATCAGTTTATGTCATCAATCAGGTAAATCCGTTTAGGAAGTTCGGTTTATTTACTTTGTTTTTTGATTAATTAACTTTAAAATGATTTTAGGACCAATTTGAGTCACCTTCTCAGGAAGAATTGAACGATATGGATGTAAAAATTGACGAACTTAAAAAGGAAATTGATGAGTACAAGGAGAAAAATAGGCAATTAACGTCAGGTATGAATGAAATTAATTTCATAACCCATTGGAGAATTGACTTTAATTTTATTTGCGCTTCAACTAGAACTGACTGCATTAAATAATTCTCTGACTAATGAACAATGCGAGGAGAGGTAGATGTTTTTAAATAAAAAACTTCCGCATTAGAGGATATTTAAATCATTACCTTTTTACATTTCCTGGATTTATTAATTTTTCTTTTTTTTTTTAGGATCAAGGCTTTAACTGAACAGGTAAATCGCGTGAAATTATGATTGAATAAAGTATTGTAATATAAAAGCAGACCGGTAATTTAACTTGATGAGAAAATTTAAAATTTCTATCTAAATTAGAATAAAAAATATGAAGAACGTTTAGAAGAATTACGATCAGGCACAAAACAATTTTCTGCTGATGATGCAAAACGAATTGATGATAAGTTTGAAAGAAATCGTAAATTCTGGAAACAAAGAAAAAGAATGGTAATAAATCTGATTTGTTATATAGGTTTTTCAAAGATCTTTTTCCTTACAAATACATAAATATAAAAAACTTACTCTTTATTTATTTATTATAGTTTGACGAAATTGTCTCAACGATGTTGGAGAATATTGATATGAAGAAACAGGTGTTTGAGGTAAGTTAGAAACTGGTATGAGTAAATCGTGCTCATTTAATTAAATTCTTTTGGTGGTTAAACAATAGGACGAGGAACTAGGTATTGAAAGAGATCCTGTAGATATCAACGAAGATCCTTTGAAAAATTTGTAAAAACTGAAGAAAACGCGTAAGGTTATTATTCACTTTTGAACTTTGTTCTATACAGCTTGCAAGTTCCAATTGTAATAGTGAGACGCGTTTAATTACTACAAAATTATTATGTAAATCATGGTTAATATTTTCTTAATATAATTGTAATAAATAATTAGTGGAGAATAATAGAATAATTCTAGTGTTTTATGCTTAAGTTTGCCCAATTCAATATATATCAATTACTGCGGAAGATCCAATCAAAAAATTCGTTTTTCTTCGGAAAATTTAATTAAAAAATTCTAATTTGTTTACTAACCTATTTAATTTAAAAATATTTAAAATTTATTAAATATTTCAGATATCGTTTGTTTGTATCTCTATAAATAATCTAACTTGTAAAATTTTGTAACATGAAATAATGTTGTTAATCACAAGATGATTACAGATCCAAAAAATTAAGGAACAAGAAGGGAAAAGTGTTTTGAAGATGCAACAATGATATATTTTTTTTTATACACGTTGACAGGATATTAATAGACAGGTTCGCCGCAAATTCGGGATTGACGCAGATTTGAATGGGGTTTGATGTGTTGTTGGGGTTGGTGTTTCCATGAAACCTGTGAGAAACTGTGAAAAGTTGAACAGTGCACACTCGTTGTGTTACAATTCTAATAAAAAATACATGTTAAATCTTTTTGATGTCGAAATAAATAAGGAAAAAAAAAATTTATTTTTTGCCACTCCGTTATAATATCCTCCATAAATAAAATGTCGCCCGGTCATAACTTTAGCGAAAATTCTTCAATTTCAACTTCACCTATTATGAATTCTTATATTGTTCATGTTGGCGAACAAACGTTTCGTCTTTATCGTTCTTCAATAACTTTCGACTCTCCTAACTTCTTTACTCAAACTTTTCTTTCTGACGAAACACCAGGAGAAAACGATGCAGGTGTCTCTACTACTAACGCTACCTTAACTGCCGAATCAAGCACACGGAAAGATAAGACAAGTATTACTACTTTGGACAACGTTGGAAAAACTGGTGATAGCTGTGTTGGAGAAATTGATTTTAACAAAACAAAGTCTAGTGCTAGCACTCAAACATATATTTCTCCTAATGCATGCGTCAAGGAAATCACGATTGATAGGGATCCTCGATCATTTGAAGTCATTTTAAGATATCTTCGAGGTTATACCATATTTCCACTTTCTTCTGTTAACTTACCTCCTGGCATGTCACTTGACTTGTTTAGGGAAAGTTTATTAGAAGATGCGCGGTTCTACGGTTTATGTCGACTTGCAAGACTACTTCAAGCAGAAACTCCAACACCTTTAAGTTACAAGGATCCTTTCACTTCAGCCGATAAAATTCTTTTATCATTGCGTGATGTTCCAATTCACAAGGAATTCATTAAATCTAATTTCGAGGGATCTTCCACCATTGAATTTTTTACGGGTGCTGTTCTCACACTTGAATTAGAATCTTCTGATGCCTCAATACGTTTTCATACGAAATTTTTGAATGAGCAAGATCAAAAGGCTTTAGAAACTTTGGGCGACATTTGTGGGGAAAATTCAAAAATTCAATTCTCAAGACATTTGAGCACAAATCGAAATATGCGAGAAGCATTAAACGGGATACGTTTAGAAATTGATGGGGTTCAAGTTACAGGGGTTGACATTGCCTCTTTGGTCGGATCTTACAGTCCAAAGGCAAAAGCTTTGGAAGATATGTTTCGTCAATCCGGAGGTCAAAAATTAGTCATATATGCTCAAGAATTTGTCTTTAGATTAGATCATCAAACTCATCTTTCCAATAATTTCAATAAGGATGATGACAATAAAGACAACGTTAAGGATATTGATAGCAGTGATATTATTTACATTAACAGTAATGGAGCATTCCAAGATGATGAATCAAAGAATGAATCAGATCATACAAATCATTTCGAGGATAGTAGTCGTGAAACAATTAAAGCAAACAGTTATGATAATAAAGATAATATTAAAATTAATAATCATGATAATGAAGAGGGTATAAATCCAGTTTATCTTGGGGTTGTGTGGGCTAAAGGATGGACTCAAGAATGGTGGGCTTGGAATGAATATAGAATGAAATTGGACACCCTCCAATAGTTAGTTATATTATAATATTATATGAATAAATTTATTTAGTGATATGGTTAGTTTGATTATTATTATATATTTATGATCGATTTTGGATTTAGGTATATCTTTTCATTTCATATCTTATTCTTTATTCATAACTTTCTTTTACACAAATATTGTTTTTTTTTTAATTTTTTAAAAAAAGTATTATTAGGGTCTTTTTTCAAGAGTATGTCTAACGTTAATTATAACAAAAAAAAAAAAAAAATTTTCATGATTAAAAATTAGTAAAAAATTTCATGATCAAAAACACACAAATCATACAATTATAATTATATTCCTCACAATTCATTATACATTTTAAAATAATATCAAATATATTTGGGAATTGGTTTAATAAAGCAATTTAAAAAAGATTTTTTTTTTTGTTTACCTTTTTTTTTAATAATAATAATCGTGTTTTTTTGACAGATAAACTCGTGATATACTTGTTTTATACTTTACCATGCATAAATAAGTTTTCAATAAGTGATAAAATTCCCTTAAAGCTACAATTAAGGCTTGGTGGTCTAGTGGCATGATTCTCGCTTAGGGTTATTCTGAATTGCGAGAGGTCCCGGGTTCAATTCCCGGCCAAGCCCAACAGACTTTTTTGTTTTCTGTTTCTATAGTAGGAAATTCGCCCTTTTTGGTTTTTCCAAGCTTTTTGCAGTTCGAGAAAACAAAACACATGATTAGGCACTTAGAAATTAAGAAAATTCCAAATTGGAACCATTTATGCCATCATGCCATTTATGTAAAACATCAGATCTAAAAATAAAAGAAATAGAGATAACTTCGTAAATCTTGTGAAATGAATTTGAATTACGTATACACTGACTCGTGGAGGTTGGATGAACGCGTACCCCTTAAAGCTATTCGCCTTTTATGGAACTTTCTTTGCATTTGACTCCTGAATTATTCTGTGCTTGCAAAGGATAAATATTGCGTTGGCGTTAAAACTCCGTTTTATTTTAGTAAATCATATAATCATATATCTTAGATATTAGTAAATTCAATTTACTCCTCAATTTTTTTTTTTTTATTTTTTAAAATAGAATTTACCCTTATTCCTTTTTCGGGGACACCCATATCGTAATTCGATGGTAATTTAGATTCCATTTGCAATATTTATTAATTCCTACATGTATGTATGCGTAATATTTTTTTTTTTTATCGATATATTAGGTGTTAATCATCTTAAAAAAACACTTTTAAAGTTCAACAAATTTCTCTGTTTGGAAAAAATCTTGCTTCTTTGTTTTTATTACCGCCTTATAAATTGTTGAACCTTGTCTTTACGAAATTTCCATAACATTCTTATATTTTAATGACCATGACACAAACAACGGTACTTATAACGTTCACTTTGGTGTTAGTATAGTCCGTTAAACTTTGAACAAAACTAAAAAATTCACAAGTATTACTTTTTTTTTTTTCTTTGTACAATAGACGAGAACTGATCCTGACAAAATGTATGACTTGCTTGAAAAGCTTGGTACCGGTTCATTTGGAACTGTTTATAAAGCGTACGTATCAAATGTTTTTTATACGCAGAAAAAAACCAAAACTTTGTTCTCTTTTTCGAGAAATCGTCTAACATAATGTACGTTATTACATAAGCATAAAAAAGGAAACGAAGGAAGTGGTTGCCATTAAACAAATTGATTTAGAAGATTCTGATGATGATATTAGTGAGATTCAGCAGGAAATTGCTTTATTATCTCAATGTGACTCACCGTACATTACTCGTTATCATGGCTCATTTGTCAAAGGGTTTAAATTATGGATTGGTAAATATTTTATTCCTTGATTCAATTTTGAATTCGATATAATAATAATTATTTAATTATTTAATTCTTTCCAGTTATGGAATATTTAGCCGGCGGATCATGTTTAGATTTGGTAAAGATTTATTTATTTATAACAAAAAAAAAAAAATTTTTTTCATGTATATATATATATATATAAATAGATATTTATTTTATTTTTATTTTTATTTTTTTGTATTAACATCCTATAGCTTAAACCTGGTCCATTTGATGAACAGTATCTTGCCATAGTTCTAAGAGAACTTTTATACGGTTTAGAATACTTACATGTTGAAGGCAAAATTCATCGAGATATCAAAGGTAATTATGCTTAATAATCATTTTTGATTTAAATGCACTATGTTTAACTTTCTTATACAAATTTTTTATTTTAGCTGCCAATATCCTGCTTTCGGGTGATGGAAAAGTCAAATTAGGTAAATTTTTCAGATAGATTTCGAACAAAAGGCACTTATGTGAGATAAAGTCAGGGTTGAATAGAAAGCCAACCCGATTTTTTTTAGAGCTAGCAAGTGATCCGTCGTGTCCAAATAATTATCGTGAATGCCTTTGTTAATTTTTTATTTTTTCCTTTGGTATCTGTCATAGCTGACTTTGGTGTCGCTGCACAGCTTTCAAATAATAAAAGTAAACGAAATACTTTCGTTGGCACTCCGGTAAGTGAATTGTGTCTTTATATTCGTATATTTAAAGTCTGCTATAATTCAAAAATTATATTATAGTTCTGGATGGCACCTGAAGTAATTCGACAGGCAGGTTACGATCACAAGGCTGACATATGGTCTCTAGGAATCACAGCGATTGAAATGGCTAAAGGAGAACCGCCATTATCTGAATATCATCCAATGCGTGTTCTTTTTCTCATCCCTAAGGCCAAACCTCCTGTTTTGGAGGGCAATTTTTCAGCTGCATTCAAGAACTTTATTGAATTATGTTTGACAAAGAATCCTCTCGATGTAAGAAGTTTTTTTCTTTTTTTTTAAAAAAAAAGGAATTACTTGTAATAACTTTTAATAATGAAATAGCGACCTACTGCAAAAGAATTATTGAGACACCGATTTATTAAGTCAGCTCGCAATACAGTATCGTTGCAAGAGCTTGTTGAACGATATGAAGTTTGGAAATCTAATGGTCCACAAAGGGCTGCTTCTATTTTCCAGAAAACTCTGTAAGTTTCTCCTATAAAGTTTAATTCATGAATTTCGGGATAATCAAACCATTTTGTATTGATCGGCTTTTTCCTTTAAAATCAAATAGAACTATAAACAATCATGGAACAGAATTAATCTGGGATTTCGAAACTATCAAACAAGCAGCCAAAAATGGCACTATCAAGTTAGAGGCGAGCGAGGATGGTACTTTTGTGGTTGAAACAAAGAAAGATGGAACTATCAAGTTAGAGACGAATAAGGATGGTACGATAAAATTAGATCCAGCCACAATAAAACGATTGGAAAATGCAACTTTGGTATGTTTGAAAAATGTTAATTATCTTCATTTTGTAAACAAATACTCATACGCTTATTTGATCTTTCAAGTTATCTTGTTCGAATCATTCTACGATTAGAGCTTCTGATTTTGCTGTAAGTATATTAATTGTATTTAATCCCGGGTGAGAGATATATTATCATATTATTAAATTTTAACGTTTTAATTTTTTTTATTTTTTAATTAGAATCAAAGAAACCTAGAAGTTCAGGCAAATTCCAATGTTAATGGAACAATAATCCAAACTTCATCTGCAAATCAAGTGCTTACGATTGATTCGCTTTATATGAATGGCAGGTAAGTTATACGTGATATAAAAATCTAATTGAAAATTTAACTTGATTAACGAAATATTTTATATAGTGGACTGGATACTGTAAGAGCACCAAGGCCATTTAGTGCAGCTAGCACAACGTCAAGTAGAGCATATTCAACAATTTCCAAAAAAAATGTTGCAGAAACTAGGACCGAAGAAGGAATGGCTGGAAGACAGCTTGTTCATGAAGTTATTCTACCCTCAATATCACAGGTTTGCTTTAAAGCAATCGAATAAATTTTTTTTTTTTTTAAAAAAAAAGCATAAATTATTTATCAAATTTTTTTTTTTTTTGTAAAAAATTAGATAAAATCAAAAGATTTAAGAGTAAATGAGATTGAAGCCTTAAATACATTAGAGAAAGGAGTCGAGGACCTAGATAATGCTAATCCAGATTTAGTTATCACAGTTCTAGTGGATATTCTAACACGGATGAAAGAGTAACGATTTTTTTTTTTTTTTTTTTTTACCATCTTTTACTTTTGAAATTTTTTAAATCTAACTTGCTCATTTATAATTTGTAGTAATGCTGATGTATGTGAACAATTATCTGATTTGGGAATAGTTTCAGACGCGTTTTTAACAGCAAATAATCATTCAACTGTAGACACCGCGGCATCACGAAGTTTACCGAACGGTAACAATATAGTTGAAGTACCAGAACCAGAACCAGAACCAGTACCAGTTGCAGAAGTAAAACCAAAACCCCCAATAGAGATGATATATTCTAGGTGGATTGATCAATTACGGATGAAATGGCTATAATTTGTCTCAGGTTCATAACAATAATAACAATGACAATAACATTTTAATTGAAAATGGAAAAAACATTTTAATTAGTTTTCTGGGGGTGTGGAGGGACAAATTGTTGACATCTAAAACTTATACATATATTTCAACAATGGATATTAATATTTTTTTATATATTGTTAAAATCTTTTTATTAATTGTATATTATGTTGTAAAGCTTCATATATTCTTTCTTTAATTTTTTTTTTATAATACCCTTATGTTTATTTTTAACAAATCTATAAATAACCATTCATCCTTTTATCCTTTTTTAATTGTAAGTTTATTCGTTTCTAAATACCGTCTTTATTTGTACTATATAAATATGTCAATAAAAACTTAAACAAATTATGATTATTAATTATTTTTATTAAACGTGTAAATTGTTATAAAATAAATATTTTTAACCCTTTTATGTGGAAGAACTTTGATCTTTGAACAATAGCCAAACATGACCATAAAGAAGGTTAGCAACGACCCATTTCACCAAAGTCCAAGTGTCCTTTTCGCATCTCATTGTCAACACGATAAATGCTACTAGCGCTTCAACGGAATGAAAAATGACCAAAATGCTTAGACTTATATTTATTATAGTTGGTCCAACAAAATTTCTAAATTCTTCGATAAATTTTGGTGAAGAAAAAGGGTAGAAAGCCACGGTTAATAAGAATACGATGCCAAATAATGTTAATGATAAATCAAATTTTCCAGGCATAATAAATGGTGTATGAAAAGAAGTTGATACTCGTGATGATGAATCAGTCATCATTGAAAGTGGTGGTCTTGTACTAGGCTAAAGGTAGATAATTCAATTAATATAAAAATTTGTCAATTGACAAAAATATGTATAAAGAAAGTAATGATACCAAGTTCAAAGCGTCCTCGGCTTCTTGTGCCATCCTAGTCAGTGTAGGTCTAACTTCTTCATGCGATCTCAATTGATTTTTAAATCTAATGTGAACTTCTGATTCTAATCCATCCTCTCCTTTTACCGCTATCACAAACCCAGTCGAGTTAATATCCGTCATACGAGCACTAACTGCGTTTCTAACTTCTCCATAATACTTTGCATATCCTAGGATAGTATCGGGATGCGTATTCATGTAAGAAACCAAACGATTTGCATGAGGAGAAATTATGTCTGCACTATTATCTTTACGGTTATTAACTTTACGGGTTTGCATTTTTTTTTTGAATTTAAGATCAATTACTAAAACCACAGGTAAAAAATTTAAAAACTTTCTTTGTAAGGTTAAGGTCAATTTAAATAATTAATTACGGTAGTCAATCATCAGATAATCAATTGTCACGTGGATTGATCTTGGCGATAAGGTATCGAATTTTTTTTTTATTTTTGGGTTTCCCTAGATTTTTTTTTTTTTTCCTCCTCTTTGCATCTTGCCTTTCTAGCTATATATCATATATTGCTTAGGCGATCCATAACGGATAATGGCTACCCAAATCTCAAAGAAAAGAAAAGTGAAGTATTTTTTTTATGATTTAATAGGAATTTGAATAGATATCGATAAAAATTCTAGTTCAGATATTTCCTGGATATCTCACTTTTTTATAATTGATATGATGATACAATTTATCTGGCACCTCTTGTTTGAATACCTTATTAACTAAAGGTATAATGCACGGAATTTAAAGATTAGTCTGATCTATAATAAGTGAGATAATCTACACGAATAAGATAATTTTTATTCATTAGAAATGGGCATGGGCTTTTCCTTCAGTGTTTTTAATTCAGGGAGGGGAACAGAAAAAAAAAAAAGAAGCCAACAATTAACGTTTTCTATTTGATATAATAGATCGAAATTTTTTTATTGATAATTTAATTTTTTCGCGTAAATTAATTAGTTCGTTGCTGATGGTGTGTTCTTTGCCGAACTCAATGAATTTTTTACACGTGAATTGGCCGAAGAAGGTTACTCGGGTGTGGAAGTCCGTGTAACCCCAGCCCGAACGGAAATTATAATCCGTGCTACACATACTCAAGAGGTTCTCGGTGAAAAAGGACGTAGAATTCGTGAATTAACAGCCCTTATTCAAAAAAGATTTAAATTCCCTGAAAATACTGTCGAGTTATACGCAGAAAAAGTACAAAATCGTGGACTTTGTGCTATTGCCCAGTGTGAATCGCTTCGATACAAGCTATTGGCTGGTCTTGCCGTAAGAAGGTAAATTTTATTAAAAAAGAAACCCTTTTTTTTTTTGCTTTTTTTTTTTTTTGTATTTTAATATTAAAACGATATTATTTGTTTACGTTTAGGGCTTGTTATGGTGTTTTGAGATTCATTATGGAGTCGGGAGCAAAAGGATGTGAAGTGGTTGTATCTGGAAAGTTGCGTGCAGCTCGTGCTAAATCGATGAAATTTGTTGATGGGTTCATGATTCATTCCGGTCAGCCAATCCGTGATTATGTGGATACAGCTATTCGACACGTTATGTTGAGGCAAGGTGTTTTGGGAATTAAAGTCAAAATCATGAAGGTACGTAATCGACAGAATTATTTATACTTGAAATTTGTTCCCGGGCATCCTTTTTAATCACGTATAAAATTGTTTCAGGATTGGGATCCAAGTGGTAAAATTGGTCCAAAGAACCCTCTACCCGATATGGTTACCATTATGGTATGTCATTCTTGTTGATGACTTTTTTTTTTTGTTTTTCAATTGGTTCAAAATAATTAATTCGGTTTAATAAAATAGGAACCCAAGGAAGAGCAGATCATTACAGAACCAACTTCAGAAGACTTAAGATCGGCTCAGGATATCCCTGTCCCTCCCTTATCTCCTCCTACACAGCCCCCGGAATTTACTAGTGAAAATTTCGAGTAAAAACAAAAAAAAAAAATAAATAGTTTTCTTATAATAAATTATTATTGCATAACGGAAATTCGGCTTTTTTACTTTGGAGGGTTATTAATTTTTTTTTTTTTTTTATTTTTGTGAAAAATTAAAAAGAAGCCGAATTATTTTCTTTAACATTCGAGTCTGCCAAAAAGTTAAATTAAATGTAACATTATAAAGTAATAATAATTATAATAATAATAATCATGTTAGGTATTTATTTACTTTTCCAACAACTACATACAATTTAAGTAAGTTATTTGTAACTATGTTATCCTACCCCAAATCGGTGACGAATAAGTACGTGACAAATAGGATTTACGCCAACCAAAATATATAAATAGATTATAACAAAATGCCTCGCCGCAGAAAGGATAAAGATATTTAACGACGGGTCGTGTTTCTCGTCAGAAAATGAGAGAGTGGAGTTTGAAAGTTCGGACACTTTTTTTTTTTTTTTACCATCTTTTACTTTTGAAATTTTTTAAATCTAACTTGCTCATTTATAATTTGTAGTAATGC